ATGTGAACTACACTCTCTTAATTTCTCTAATTTTGGGGAGTGAGGGGCGCGTGTAAATCTGTCTTGGCACACCTAGCTAGGTGTGCCAAGGCACATGGTAGTGCTACTGCCTTACATGGCATGTAACTTTTTTCTAAGAAACCCAAAGCATTGTGGGTGCTCTAAGCTACTACTCGACTAAAATTTCAATTTTCTCGAAAAACAAATAAAAAGAATACTCTTTGTCCCCTTCACACTCCCTTTTGCTACTCTCTTTTTCCCACAAGAGTCTCCTCACAGCCAAGATCCTTCCTTTTCTTCTTTCTCCTTCGACTCTCTCTCTCTTCACACAGGTCCCATTTGCTGCTTGTCCCTTTCTCTCTCTTAAAACCCTCATAGGCTCATACAGAACGAGCTGAAAAAAGGGGGGGAAATGAGAGGGCCGTTGGGGCCTGTGATAGGTAAATATCCTTCTTCGAGCGATGTGAATGGTGAGAATGGCAATGGGATTAGCGGCGATATCATAAAGCACAACAGGAAATGCAGGGATGTGGCGTTTTTGGTGGTGTTCATTGCTTTTTGGGTTGCAATGATTGTTAACTCTAGCTTTGCTTTCAACCAAGGAAACCCATTGAGGTAAAACGGAGAAAAAAGTAGTTTGCTTTTGCCCTTTTTGTTCTTGATTTGTTTGTTACCAAGTTCTTGATGAAGGAGATGGGTCTGCTTTTAGCTTCTTTTTTTTTTTGGCTGTGTTGATCTGTTATTTTGAGTCATTTTAATGGTCGAAATGGTTTGTTTTCATGTTATTCGAGAAAGAAAATTTTGCATCTGGATTTGTTTTGTCCTGTGTTTCTTGGAGCTCTATTTCCGTGTATTTTTCACTGGTGGTGCTAGAGACTGATTCCTCGTGGGATTTGCTTCTGTGATGTTTTGGTGGCATTTGCTTGTCTTTTGGTATACTATTTGTTCTTAAATATTGTTGTATCTTGCCAAAGTGTGGGTTACACTTACACGGGAAACTTGGTGACTTTCCTATTTTTGGACTAATTTCGTTTTTCTGCATTTTCTCTAGTTGAGTTGGTAAGTTCTGAATATTATTATAGGTCGGATAATCTAAACAAAAGATCTCCATGAATTTTGAATGTGTTTGGTGTATACTTAGATTAAGAGTGAACCTTTTCATTTTTGTGTTTCACTGTTTGACATCATAGTATGAAATGATACTCTGTTTCCATTTCATTTAGTGCATAAATAACATTCAATGTGTTTGTGATTTGGAAGGTTGAACTATGGGCTGGACTATAAAGGTAATGTGTGTGGCGATAGACATGCGGATCGTGATCTTCGTGAATTGGAGCTAAGATATTGGCTAAACCCTAACCAGGTTTATCAAACTGGTGTAAAGGGCAGTAATTTCGAGCTCTCGAACGCGCGCAGCATATGTTTGCTGGATTGTCCAATCCCATCTGAGGACTCACTCAATTGGGTTTGTGATTATCCAGAGGGTGATGTTCGTCTATCGATCGACAATTGGATTGATAGAAATTACGACTATTTTGCGGACCTTACTCCCCAGCTTAGAAATAGCTCTCTTCAGCTTCAGGGCCCTTGTTATCCAGTTATATTTCCTAGTGTCAATGGTAAATTCTCACAAAGTTTTCATTTTTTTATATTAATGAGCTGAAATCTTTAGACACATTGGTTTTTTGTTTAGAAATGTAGTTAGTAAAGGGTGTACATGAAGTTTGCCTATAATTTCTTGTTAACAAAAAGTAATTTTTATTTCTGTGGAAAATAGTATTTTTGATTTCTTCTCTTAACTTCGGTTGGCAGTTTATTGGACCTGTCAATTTATTGCACGTGCTTCAAATGTATCTTTGACACACTGGGAGCAGATGGGTGGAGTAAAAGTCATAGAGGACATTGCAATTGATAAATCCATCCACAAATCAATTAATTCCCGATCATCGGTACTGAAGGTGAGGTGGAGCTTTGACGTTTCGCACTTTCCTAACATGAAAACAAACAATTTTTACATACAAATTCATGTCCACTTTCTACTTTTAACAACTCAATTCATTGTATCACCATTCATGAAACTTTAGGTATTTTGTTAGTATATTTTACACAATGCTTACAACCACTTTTTTGGCATTAGTTTGATATTTTGATTGGTTAAATTTTTTCACCAATTTGGTTCATCATTTAACATTTTTTTTAAGTATCTACCTGCAGAGATATGTGGCTGATGTTGGGAAAGCATGGCCTGTGCTGCTCATTTGTGGGGGATTTCTGCCTCTGTTTCTATCAATTATATGGCTTTTGATGATTCGCCATTTTGTAGCGGGAATGCCTTGGATTACTGTCATTCTATTCAATATTCTCATGGTATCTGTGACCATGTTTTATTATTTGAAAGGTTAGCATATAATCTCTTGATTTCACGTGCTTATGAATTTCTTTAAGTCCAATTTTGATTTTTTTAATTTTATTTGGATCTCATGGAGAAAATTGGATTTGTTAATTCTGAACTTTTATAATGGTACCATTGTATACTAATTGGTGCTCAAAATTCTGAGAACAATTTGTGATAAACTGAGTGATTTACTGTTTTTTCTGCTTTCATATTCATATTATAGTAATTAGCAACATCTTCGCACTCTTAATACAAGCTCGACTTACAGAATTTGTACATTTTTTAGCTTTCTTTGTCTAGTTATAGAATACTTTACATGTCTACATTAAGCTACTTATGCTGTTTTCTGTTTGGTGAGTTTTTCCTTTGTTGTTTATTGTAATTACTTCACTTCAGAATTGCAAGAATCTTTTCACTCACATATAATATTTCCTTTTCTTTCTCCCGTTCGTAGATTCAATTATTAATATAAAACGACATAACTGAAATGATTTTTCCATTTTGTCAGCTGGATGGATTGGAAATGATGCCATTTCTCCAATCATTGGCGAACACGACCCATACTACCATGTGTCAGCCAGGGTATGATTTGTTCTAGAAGAAAAATTGCATTTCTAGAAGAAAAACCCTTCAAGTTTGAAATGAAGAGGCTCTTCAAACTTTTATCCATTTTTTTTTCGATCGCTACTATCAAACTGTTGGCGGGAAAATATATCATTCGTACTTTCAGCAAATTGCTTCGTTTCTACTTTTATTAGATTAGATGTCAAATGTTCTCATGTGAGTTGTGTGCCTTTTTCAGGAGATAAATCATCTTCATGCTGCTGCTGTTTTCATGACAGCTCTAATGATTGTCGCGTTTTTATCCTCTATTGCTATAGTCCGCCGTATTCTAATGGGAACATCAGTCCTCAAGGTACATTATGTTATTTTCATGTTATTGAAATGAAAACGGTATTTTCCATCGTAAATAATACAAAGAAGTGGGAGATAATAAGAAAATAACACATTTATTGTTTTGTAATGTCATTATTATATACAACCCATCATTGATATTTTTTCTGGAGTTCCTTAACGTGCAAAACTTTGCAGCTTTCTGTCTTTAGTTCATAACTTAGCAAGTAGAGCTAAAATTTGAAGTACTGAAAGATATGTGTTTGATGAATAAGTTAAGAGGAGGAAGTGGTTAATCTTATTTATTTTGTCTTCTTCCATAAAACTCAAATCAAAATCAAAATAAGAATTCTAACACCCTTTATCCGCGCTGCATATCAATTCCAATCAAATTAAGCCGAAGTAGAAGTTGGGATTTAAAAAACATTAGAACCACATTTTTTCTTTTTCTAGTCACATAAGCTGACAATGCATTTTCTTATACGCACTTTTTTGTTGAAACACACAGATTTGGGAAAAAAATTCTCACCTTTTTCAATTCAGTAGAACTTGAAAATGAACCTACAAACCGAACATATCACGTACTCATGCAGAAAAGAGAACAAAATGTGTGATAGAAACACACGTTTCTACTAATAAAACGGGAAAAGAAGTATATAAAGCAGCAACGGTTTTAACTGAAATTCAAAACATAAGAACACAACATGCAGCAACATACTAAGTCACTAACACTTCAACACTTTTAAAAACCTTGTTTACAGTGTCTTATTTAACCATTTTTCTCTCTTAAAATTTCCCAGGTAGCTGCAAAAGTGATTGGAGAAGTACAGGCCCTGATAATCTTCCCAATTATACCATACGCCATACTAGCTATTTTCTACATGTTCTGGTTATCAGCTGCTCTTCATCTTTTTAGCTCGGGAAGTGTTGTGCAGAATGACTGTAGTGCTAATTGCTGTGCTTATGATCTCAAAGCAATGAAGCTGAGTTGCAATAGCTGCTGTGGCTATACCGTTCGCTACATGTCTCATATAGCTGCTGCTATACTTTTCCACCTGTTTGGCGGTTATTGGGCCACCCAATTCATCATTGCTTGCTCGTCTACAATAATTGCTGGGTCTGTTGCTTCGTATTATTGGGCTCATGGGGAAATCTCGGTAAGGATTCTGGGTTTTTCAGTGTAGGTAAAAACTGTTACTTTTTGATAGTGCACTACTTAAATGTTTGCCTATGTATTTCATAACAAAATCTTTTGATTTGTTTTGAAAAAACAGCAAGGAATCCCGTTCCTTCCCGTTTTTTCTTCAATGAAGCGGCTCGTACGATACAGTCTAGGATCAATGGCTATCGGCTCTCTTATCGTGTCCTTCATAGAATCAATTAGATTCATACTCGAGGCCCTTCGTCGTAAGCTTAAAGGCGTAATAAACCCTATGACCGACAACTGGTTTGAAAAGGCTACTTATCAGACTTCACAAGGTTGCCTTAGGTGTATAGGGTACATTATCAAATCAGTGAACCGCAATGCTTATATCATGGTAAGTTCAATTTTTCGGTTTTGCATAATAAGTTTTTAAATAAAAAAGGATTGCATTTTCACGTGACATGTGTTTTGCTAGATTGCAATAACCGGAAAAGGCTTCTTTAAATCCTCCGAGATTGCAACCGAGCTTATCATGAGTAATATACTTCGAATCGGGAAGGTGAATGTGATAGGGGATGTGATTCTCTTTCTCGGAAAGCTTTGTGTTAGTCTAACCAGTGCACTTTTCGCTTTCTTGATGTTGGACACTCATAAATACAAATCGGCACATAACAAGATTTCATCCCCTCTGTTCCCTGTTCTGGTAAGCATCATTATTACATGATAGTGAAAAATATTCTAGTTAAGCATTCACCGTCTTTACTTTTTACAAATGTTTTGGGAACTTCGCAAAGATAGCTGACACTTCATTGAAGTATTTTTTTGTGACAAGACTTGAATTAACCAAAATCTACGAACACTGGTTGTCGGTTGATGGTATTAATTATCTATTATGTGGGTATTATTAAACAGGTGTGTTGGGGATTTGGGTACATTGTGGCTAAACTCTTTTTTGGAGTGGTTGAGATGTCAATAGACACCATAATTCTCTCCTTCTGCCAAGACTCGGATGAGCATCAAGGCACGGCACAATATGCTCCTCCATTGCTTATCGAGACTCTCAACGACCAAAACGAAATGCAAAGGCTGACTCAATGAGCCTTTTATTATTTTTTTAGACAATGGCATTCGTGGAATCTCGTGGATTTGCTCGATGGCGATGGCGATTGACTTTCGGGTGCGAAAATGTATTATTTCTTTTTTAGTCAAGACTTGGTTTATGGCCCCCAATTTGGGGGGGAAAAAAAAACAAATAAGTATAATCCTTAGTTTGTATATATATTAATGTTGGTTGAAAAATTGGAAGAAATCTTGGCTAAGGGAATCCACTACAGATGATGTGTTGTGATTGTGTTCTTGACTTTCTTCTGTGTTAGAGAAATGGGAATTTCGAGGAAAGTTTTTTTTTTTTTTTTTTTTTTTTGCTTTCATTTTTCCCTCAACTCAGTAGTATTATGTGTGCCTAATGGTGAAACCTAATGGTGAAATAATGTCCTATCAATTTTTTATTTTTTATTTTTATTTTTTTTTCTTTTTACCATTGGATCACCAAATGCCCATTGTGTGAGATATCCAACAGGTAAAATCTTAATGAGTATTCATTCATGTCCATAAAATGATGAAAAAACAGATTTAAAAATTGGTGTGCACAATTATTGGGATATTTTAATTTTAGTTTAGTATTTCAAGTGGTTTTAATTCATGTCCATAATAATGTCATAATTATACATTTTTGCTATGGAGTCATCAGATGACTCGGCTTATGGAATCATCCATAATTATTTACAAATAGTGTATTGAACGTGTCTTACAATAAATGTATTTTGAGCATGTGTCAATACATTAAGCGATGTATGGCTCCATAAGAAAACCTGTGATGGCTCCATAGAATTTTTGAATAATTATATGCGAGTCAATTATTCAATAGAATGAAACAAAAATTAAAACATTTTAAAACATAGAATCTTTTCCCGTTTCTACACTCCATGCAAATCCATAATAATAGGTCAAGGCACACATACGCACCAAAGGAAAGATTAAAAATAATAATAATAATAATAATAATAATAATAATAATAATAATAATAATAATAAAAATAATAATAATAAAAACTCGCAATAGCATCAGTAAGCACAAAATAAGCACGATTTTTGCATCTTCCTATTTTCTTCAAGGTAAAAAGTTCCTTTCTTTTGGCGCATAAAATTCCCCTGTAAGTAAAGGGAAACAAAAAAAGCCCGTACTTCCTCGACAGCTCTATAGTTAAAGAAGGGCACAAATGAGACAAAACAAGATGGCCCTCATTGTGAGCTTCTCTGAGATAGTAGCATAAAATCAAAAACTACATAGATTTTAATTTGTTCATTTGCTGGAGAAACTCAGACTCCTTGGATCAAGTTCGTCTACTCGAATGGATATTATCCATCCATTTCCTTCCTCGGTCCAAGGGATTCCCTCCTTATCCAGAAGCTTAGTGATCTACACATGATAAGAAAAAAATGAAAATTAATTAAGTACAAGACAATTTCGCTATCCGAATGGCGAACAAATGTCTTATATATAACTTGATTGACTGAAAATATGAGCTTAAATATTGACAATTGTTCTAAAAATTATTGTTACTTCAAGTTTCAGTTTCTTTGCACTTAAATTGTCCAGCTATAGAAAACACTCATACCAGACGCTTACGCCGCCCATCTTTTTTGTCTGTACCATCTGTCCCAACTACAGCCTTCAGATAGCGAACAGCTGAAATATATAAGCATCAAATCAGAAACCTTAAGGCATGCATGGATACAAATATATCTGCTCAAAATGAGTTTTTTTTTTTTTTTTTTTTTTTTTTTTTTTTTTTTTTTTTTTTTACGCAGGTTAAGTTTTGAAAAATGTGGTATGATTAGTTGTCAGTTGGATTTTGAGTTTATATTAAAATAACATTTAAAATAAAATAATTAAAGTTGATTTGATGTAAAAGTAAGAGAGGGATGATGTGAAGCGATGGTTAGTTAAAATTATGTGAGTGAATAAAAAGTGAATTAAAATTGATGTGGGGTGTAAGAATGATTGATTGATATTATTTAATTATATTTAATATTGAAGATAGTGGGGTTGAGTTAAAGTTGAGTTGGATTTTGGGTATGGATTGGGTATGAATTGGAAAAATTCATAAACAAACACCCTTTAATTGAGGTCAAAGTTTTTAAAAGGGATAATTACAGAGGACCACCCCTAAAATTCAGCATAATTGCAAAGGAAAAATGCCAATTTATCCTTTAAAACCCTCCTGAAGGGGCAAACTGGTAGAGGGTAATGTCAAGAAGTTGTTTGTAATTTGACTAAACTTCATGGGGTACTTGTTCTAATAATGTTTTAAAAAATATGTCCAGAAACAATATATAACACACATGGCAAACCAGAAAGAGAAGTCAAATGAAGCTTCATATGCTGCAAAGCATCCTTTGGGTCCAGATAGTGCATGTTAATGGAGAATTCTTCCTCCTCGTCACTGCGGGCAAATGTGGAAGTTTTTTTGTAAGTGAAATCACATAGAGTTTCTCAAAGGCTTCAAAACGAAACAAAAGGGGACCGCAAAGAAGATAAAAAGAATTATTTGACCTAACCTGTCCTCAATAAGCTTCTTTGCAGATAGTTCATCTGCTTCACGAGCCTTTCTCATATAGAAGTTGCCCTAGAACCCCATCCACATGAATATAACAAAATGTATAAAGTAACATAAAAAAATTCTAATCAAATGAAGGCCATGACACCGCAAAAGTCTAAATAGATCCATTTTCTCAGAGACGTCCAACAAGGCTATCTTAAAACAACCTAATCAGTACAATTAAAAAGACACTCTGAAAACACAAAATTATTTAAATTCATTTCCTTCAAACACCCAAAATAACCAAACAATTCCTGAATGATGAGTGTGTGAAGTTAGTACGAGTTCTTGTGCGATATTAGTGCCAGAAGTTCTTGTGTGAGACTAAGTTTTTTCGGAGGGTGGTGGTGGCAAGGGCCATACAATGTGAGTACTTGCCCAAAGAAATTATGTGGTTTTCTATCAGAAAATGGCGTGAAGTACCTTCCCTATTATGACTTCCAGGTTCAGTTATAGTAGAAAAATAATGAGTGTAATAGCATACCTCTTCCAGAAGCTTTACCGCTTTTTCATAATCCTTTCTAGTATATGCTTCCACCGACTGCAAAAAGTTCCACAAATAATTAAGCTCGAGGAAGTTAAAAGAAAAAAGGTGAGTCACAGCGTGCAAAGACTTACAGCCTTATAGTACTCTTTCATAATGACCCAGTACTCAGCCACAGCTTTTCTCAAGTCCTCATAACTTGTCTTTTCAGATACATCACCTAATGCACAAAATTTGCACGCACCAGGCAATATTAGTACAAGGCTTGGAAAACAGGGCACTAAAAGTAAAATGTTCAGGAAAGCCACAGCTGATGCTCGTGAAGAGAAGACATAATCGTAAAGATAAGTAATTAGGTAATAGAGCATTTATCAAGACAAAATCAGCATTAGAATGCTAAGAGTGTTTTTCCAATATCCAGTACATAGTGCATATTATATGATTACTGATGAATAGTCAATAGCGAAGTCTATTGAATGACATCTGGCACCAACAATCAACAATGTAATAAAACTTCTGTAAAACTGAAGCCCGTCAGCACCAGATGCGTATATGTTTCACCTCGTTACAGCCCGTCAGCACCAGATGCGTATACGTTTCAAATCTTCCATCTCCTATTTTTCTGTTCTTTGAAATCTTAAATGGAGCCATTTTGTTTGATTTCAACTTCATCTTACATGGAGTCTCATTTAAAATCTTTTCCACAAACCCTCCTCATCAAATTCAAATGCAACCTTAGAGTTTCTACAAATGTAATGACATCATAAGGATAAAGTGAACCTTGCAGCAAAAAAAATAATATACTTACTTCTGTTACTGATAGGTTGTCTTGTAATGTATGAAAAATCTTCAAACATTTTCTCGTCTGGTGGTTTCGTCACAACCTGACCGTGGGCTGATGACCGCCGAATTGGTCTAACTGGAGGGGCGGACACTCTTTCTTCGAACCTGTCGGGCCCAGTAAATAGCGCCTCCAGAACTTCTCTTTGTACATCTTTCACTTTTGTTCCAGCCTCAGATAGTTCAACTTCATCTGCCCAGCTCATACCATTGTTTGGCCTGAAGAGTGTAAAAGTACATAAATATGATTGACAACCTAGCATTAATTGAAAAACTATCACTGAATTTTGGTCTAATTAAAATGTGTATGATGCATCCTTTATTACAAATACCCCTTGGACATTTGCTTCTCTTTTATGAATCAAACCTTACAAAAATACAAATGTCCATGAGAATTTCGTACACTATAAAATTGGGGAATCAGTAGTTCTGAAAAGATAAGTGGAGTTATTGTAGTTATAGACTAAACATTTAAAGATAACTTTTTGTAATTATCGCATCAAATCAAATTTTATCCATACCTTCCAGAAAAAGGAATAGCCGGTGCTTGTGTTGTGCTAGAACTGGAACCCAGACCAAGGCTGTTCTTTGTAGTCTGTTTAGGGTAGTAATAGATGCAAAAAAGAATATCAGGACAATGGTAAATTGGTAATTGATTGCCAACTTATAGTGACTATCACGTAGGCCTTCATATCATCTTGATTTAAGGAGAGGGGAAGCAAATATACTCGGTGCAGATAGGACTCTTGTAGTAAGCAAGGTATAAGATTTTTGCAAAATCATATCCAGTGCTCAAGATCCTATCTGATTCAAATTAGTTTCTGAGGTAAACATTTCATAAATAAAAATTTTAAAATGAATGTTTCCAGGAGGTCTCACATTTTCAGCAGTTACGCCAATAACATCATCACTCTTCTCTAGGTTTGCAGCGGATAGGTCAATCAGTTTATCAATACTCTGCAGTTTCATAAAGAGACAGTAGTAAGAAATAGTCACATAAAAACATATAGAATCACTTATATGCGTTTATAATGTTAAATATGGAGAGAGAGAGAGTTAATAACACAGAAATGTTTTATGCATTTACACTATTAAATGCAAACAGAGTGAAACAGAGGTCCTCCTTACATAATTCTACACACTATCTACTAAAAAGCAAACAATGCAGTATTATAGCAAGTTGCTGCCTATGGGCTTAAGTTCATTACTTTATTCTCGTATCTTAACATAAATGGGGCTTGACCAACTGCTAGCATGTAAAATTACACTAAGTCAATAAGGATATAGAGCCACAAGGGCAGTAATACCCTCGAATGAAATAGGAAAAATGAAAGGCATCTTTACCTAGAAAGATTCAAAGTAACAGAGCTCCATATCCTAATTCCAATCCAGATAAGTATCTCATTAAATTTCCATATCAATATATCCAATCACATTTTCATTTCTCACATCGTAATGAAGGACTTTTTAACTTACTTCAGAGGGAGCATCATACTCCCAACATAAAAAAGTATATGTATACATGGTTAATGAAAATCAGTGAGCATACATATAGAAATCAAAAGAAATCAAGAAACTCATTTAACAAGACACTTGCTAACAGCAACAGTCAATCAAAATAAAAAAGAAAAAGAAGAAGAATAACAATAAAAATGGAGAACACTTACCATTGGGATATTGTACCCACATTCACCTGCATATTGAAAACATTGCACAGTGAGATGTGACATTGCAAGAGACAAGAGAGATCAATAGACTATCATGTTATAATCTGTCATTTCTAAGCGAAGATGTGTAGCTGGAGCAAAATAAGAAAATCCAGCTGCAAATAAACTCTGTGCACCACTTGAACATTTTCAATATAGAGAAAAGCCATAGAAGTATTATTCACAAAACCTGCAACGGAAGTTTCAGGTGTATAGATCCCAACTTCAAATTAATTATAAGCATTCTCGATTGAAGCATTCAACAAATGATTCAGCAGAGGTTCTACACAACATTTAATCAACGGAGCTTACCCATAACATCCTGGATCATACTCTTTTCTAGCTGGAATCCATCTCCGAGCATTTTGCAAAGAAATTCCTGAATATCCCTGTCCATGGATTCACCATGCGAGGAAGAGGCCGACTCCTTTTTCTCATCCCAGATCACGGAAACTGGAAATTCATCAGAATTTATTTTCACTGGTTTCAACTTCTGAGTCTGTCCATCTGACTGATTTCTAGGTCTAAAGTAATCTTTGCCAATCACATCAGAAATGGACCCCACAGATGCTGAAACTTTCTTCGTCTTTGGTTTAGTTAAAAGAGCATTATCTGGAATGTCATTGGAAGCACATCCAGAGGACAAACTAGACGTGTTTTCAACATTATCTGGCGCTACTTGCGAAGAAGCTCCACTATGGCTACTCAGCAAGATACAGAGTCGTTCAGCAGTCGAGTTTAAGTCTCGACCAGTTTCACAATAGGCCGAAGCGATGTCCTCGAGAGAGATGACAGAACTAAAAGCCTCGAGCAATTGCTTGAGATTTCTCTCATCCTCATCAGTGTAAGAGGAACTCGAAGGAAGTAATTCTACTTTCATCCTTCGTATGGAAAAAGAAAAGTCAGTTATTGAATGAAGTATTAGTTTAAAAAGAAAGATGAAAAATAATAAAACAAAAAAAAAAAAAAATCAAGTGACAGACAACCATTCCAAATTTATCATCCATGGGATGTCAACACTGTTAATTTCATCCGTAAAACATTGTGTGATAGTGCACAGGCAGAAACTATATAGTTAGGAAACCAAAGCATCAACAAAAGCTACAAGATTCAATGAAATACTAGAATAACAATAATGTTAAATGCACAGTGCCTAGAATGTGTTGCGATTACTAACCAGTGAATCCAACTGCAAAAATCATATCTGTTACTTTCTTGATATTATTAGCTTTCAATAAAGACATTATAAATGAAAGAGTGAAGTCCTCGTAGAGATCGTTAAAAGATATTCCATTATTCCAATTTTTTTCTCTTTTTTTTTGTCTGAACTGCACCAGCAGGCAGCAACAAAGATATGTTGACTTTAAGTTCTTCTGAACAGTTAATAACTTTCTTCACTAATCACTAGTGAGTAGAAATGTAAATACCATAAAAACTCAAAACGAATTGTAGATAAAGATGCATGCCAAAAATATATCAGGATAGGACATGACAAGCTGGACAAATTCAAACTAAACAGAAAATTAAAGCCTGAAGTATACTGCTTGGTCATGCTCTGTGCTACTTCTAAAATAAGCACACCACTCAACTGAGATATAGCATAGAATGAATATGGTTTGCGAATACCAAAACCCAAACAACAACATTTCTGTATTTCAGAAATTAATAAAGATTCAGAAAATGCAGCATATGTGTAAGAGAAAACATCATAAACAAAGTTTCCTACCTGAAAAGTTCGCAAAACAAAAGGGTTCTTTTTCTACAGTCCTATTTCTCCGTATAACCACTATTTGTACCTTGAGCTGTTCCAATCGGAGACCCAGAGTAATAATGCTAGACTGAGACGCGAAACATAGAAAAGTTAACAAACTTCCCCAACAATTTAATTACAAGTGAAAAGGATACTAGAAAATGCAATAAAGCACAGAAATTGGTTTTAATTTACAACGAAAACGTTGTATCCAATGACGGCTGAGGAGAAGAAGAGCTGTTTCATTAAACTTTACAAGCTTTAAACAGTGGGAAGTAGTGTGTAAATGTAATTGGCCAATAACGCAAAAATTCCGGACCTATGATTACAAGCCCTATTATAACCAGTAGCCACGTGTATGCAGATGAGCGCAGAACAGACAAAATCTGGCAACCGCCAAAACAGCAGATTTTTTTGCCATTTTTGTAAAATAAAATGAGCCAAAACTAGATATAATCTAATAAAAATTAACTAAAAGTGATGAAAAATGCAGACCTTGAAGAATTACGTAGGCAGGTCAAATGCTCGCGTTCATTCACACCTACACCAAGTGATAAATTGTCATCATTACGAATAACAATGAATTTCATCTTTAGGCATATTTCAATTACCACAATTCCAAAACCGCAAATGAAAGCAATAAATTGCTACTGATTAGGATAATAGAGATTCAAATTATGCCAACTCAAATGTGAACCATGAAATCTTCAAATTTACAGTCTGATGAAATTCTCGAGAAAAATCTGATCTAATTTATCAATTTTCAGGATGTCTCAAATAGCAGTGTAGCCAGTAGTTGGCCTTAAGCCTATGTATATATTTTACTCTTTTTGCCATCACTCAATATGATAAGTTTGCACAAATTTGATGGCAGTGATTTAATGGAACGAATATTTTCATTTTCCTAACTTCGTTGTCTGAGTATGAGAGAGATTGATTCAATCAACAAAATTCATCTAAAACTTTTACCAACATTTGACAAATTAGCCTGTTAGAGTCTCCATCTGCACCCCACATTGGTATCAATTACATCTTGTTTAATGTCCATCATAAACAATGGATTAACCCAACCACATTTGCAAGCTCATACTCAAAATCCGGTCATCTTTAATCAAGTTTTCAGAGCCAGACAAAAATCTTCATAAATTTTCCAAGCACAAAA